TATAATAAACCATGTCTGCATTTGTGATCGGAGAAACGACAAACAAGCGCTAATCTACACTGCTAAAAACTCACGTTTGAATCGTCAGTGGCAAATTCTTACAGTCTGTGAGTCAGAAGCGCCGGCATTGTTGTCTACTCTACCAGGATCAGGAAACAGTCCTCCATAAAATGCGCTGCACACATCTGAATATTTGGGTTGAACTGTTCTGGAACAGTGTTGTAAATACAACTTAACCACTGATTTCTAGTCGTGTCCTCTTTTGGAAGACCAAACAAAGTAGTTTCGCTTTCACAACGAAACACACGGAGGGCTAGAGTGAGCGGAGGCCGGCAGGCTTGAGAACGGCACGGCCGGCAGATTTGAGGAAGGAGCGTCCGGTAGGCTTGCGGCAACCACGTGACGACCCCGGGCTGAACTCTGCTTCGTCCACGGTGAAAGCCGATCCGGCGATCCACAGCGTGAAGTTGATGTATTTCCTCAGCGACCAGCACGGATCAGCTCAGGCATGGCCTAGAGTGAGCGGAGGCCGGCGGGCTTGAGAACGGCACGGCCGGCAGATTTGAGGAAGGAGCGTCCGGTAGGCTTGAGGCAACCCAAGAGAAAGGAAAAATTTAAATCGCATCATATGACCCCTTTAAACGGTAGTGCAATTGCTGGGAAGAAACTAATTTTATTGCACTGAAATTATGTTTGAAGGTGCACCACTTCTTTTTCTGAACTATTATTTTAAAATGTGGTAAATAGTAGTAATAAAGTCATGAAACTCACACAAATGGATGTATGGGAACTATACCAGTTGAAACGTCATTCAATCATTTGACTGTTTGTGTACAATATGCTGCAAATGCAGACAGAACTGAAACTCCTGTATAGCAGTGAAAGTGACTCATATGAAAAGCACAAAGTGTGAGATTCAAACATTAATGTCTTACATTTTAAACAGGTTCGCCCCTGATTTTATTGCATCATGTTCTATGATATGTACTTTCAGAAGATAATCATCGATAGAGTTTGTATTTACATTTAATTACATTCATTTGTTCCTGGAATAGGAACTGAAAGGCCTTTTCCTGTCACTGGTAATAAACCTTGTATTTTTGTTGACTTAGTTACGTAAAAATTACCATCATCTATGACTGCGAACAAACTGAATTAGATGTACAGTCTAAATGTTTATAAGAAGCACTATTGCGTGAAACCTCATGTATTTATGTTGCACTGAATAAAAAGTGTAACAAATACATTTTGTAAATACATAAATACATAAACCCATATTTATGTTGCACTGAATAAAAAGTAACCCAAAAACGACAACACTATTTGTGTGTTTAAATGATCAGTGAAGACCTTGAAAACAATATATAGCAATAAAATGGCTTTTATTACATTACTAAGCTTGATTCTCTCCACATGGCTTGGAGAGTCGCCATTAAATACAATGAAGAACAAAAGAGAGCAGGAAAAACAAGAAATGACCAACAGAGCGCATCATGAACAAGAGCTTCCTCTCAGAAGAAAAGAAATGACCATGTTGGCTTAAATGGGTTCATTTCTTCATTAATTCATTTTGGCCATTATATATACATAATCCATAATGATTTACAATAAAGTTAAAAGAATAAAAACAGAAGTAAAATAAAACATTAAATACTGTACACTGAACAAAATATCTAAATAAGGTTAAGCTGCACTTTGACACTAATAAAATAAATAAAGATGAAGTAAGCTAAGAAGCCAAACTCTAAACCTAAAAAATGTCTAAATTTAATTAAAAATAAATATATTAATAGGTGTCATACAATACAGGTTGTGCAGTGCAGTTCATTATGGCATAAATAAATCAAGTATGGTTTACATCAACACACATCGAGCAACCTTGGGTTTCAGAAATGTATAAATAAATAAAATTGTATTAATGTTATTACAATTATAAAGTACATCAGTCAGAATAGTTGGAGAGGTGATGAAACTCATGCATTGCTCTACAGCTGCAGTGATCTCAAGTGCTTCTACTGAGCCGGACACAAAACAGAGCAAAACACATTTAAATCAGTAGATGAGACTAAAGTAATAGTTCAGGAAAAAATTGAAGTTTGCTAAAAACTTCTGCGATAAAGAGGAGTTTGTTTCTTCATCAGATTTGGAGAAATGTAGCATTGCATCACTTGCTCACCAATGCATCCTCTGCAGTGAATGGGTGCCGTCAGAATGAGAGTCCAAACAGCTGATAAAAACATCATAATAATCCACAAGTAATCCACACCACTCCAGTCCATCAGGTAACATCTTGTGAAGACAAAAGTTGCATGTTTGTAAGAAACAAATCCATCAAGACTTGTATATTATTGCTTAATAAAAATAAAAAGTGGTCTGGTCTGAATCAGGAGAGAAATCTGCACAGATCAAGTACTGTTTACAAGCCACGACAGTCTAAAACAGCTCTAATACATGGGTGGACTTTCATGCCAAACAGCTGATAAAAACATCACAATAATCCACAAGTAATCCACACCACTCCAGTCCATCAGTTAATGTCTTGTGAAGACAAAAGTTGCATGTTTGTAAGAAACAAATCCATCAAGACTTTTATATTATTGCTTAATAAAAATAAAAAGTGGTCTGGTCTGAATCAGGAGAGAAATCTGCACAGATCAAGTACTGTTTACAAGCCACGACAGTCTAAAACAGCTCTAATACATGGGTGGACTTTCATGCGAGAGATGGACTTTGTCAATGGAGGAAGCGTTATTATGGACTATATTAACTCATAATTTGACAGGAAGAAATGATTTAAAGTTAAAAATGTCATGATGTATTCATTTCTTACAAACAGGCAGCTTTTGTCTTCACAAGATTTTAACTAATGGACTGGAGTGCTGTGGATTATTGTGATGTTTTTAATCAGCTGTTTGGACTCATTCTGACGGCACCCATTCACTGCAGAGCACCCATTGCTGAGAAAGTGATAGAATGAAACATTTCTCCAAATCTGATGAAGAAACGCATCTATGAGTTTGATGAAGAAACTCATCTACATTTTGGATGGCCTGAGAGTGAGGAAATTATTTGCAAATCTTCATTTCTGGGTGAATTATTCCTTTAAAAGAACAATATAATGTGGCAACAGAACATTTCAGAACAATAACAGTTACAGTAAAACTCTGTAAATCATTTCAAAATGGGCCTTAAGATGGAGATACTTCATATGATTGTCTAATTAAAGGAGATTTCAAAATAATTCTAACTTAAGTGGCACTTAAAGCAGAGCAACTGTAAATTTTCTGAGCATGAGCAGGTATTATTGCACTGGCAAGTTCCTCATGCAAGAAAAACAAGTTTTATGAAGACTTTAAGGCTGGAGATCAACATTCATATTCTGATCTCTATCACATGGTCACTCCACGGAATATTTTTAACAGTGGTGCTATTGTAGACATTATTAGCTGTAGCTACATTACATCTGTCCGCATGAGATGCAGTTAAGGCCGTGTTTAATTTAGGCTTACGGAGGTCTGCTAGAAAACAAAGTTGCCAAACAGTGCAAATATGTTAGTGCTTAGACGGTGTAGATGACCTTTGTACATTAAATATTGAGCTTATATTTGTCATCAGCTTTCAGGACAAGCTGAATCAAGATTTTTTAATTGTATACTGAAGGCAGGAAAGTCATTCTGACTGCCCACAGGACAGTTTTTGGTGAAGAAAACAGCTACATACATACATACATACATGTGCTCACAATGAGTGGATGTTTCAGGCATTTGTGAATTAATTATTAGTTCTGAGATTTGTTTTGCACGGGTGTGATTTTGTGATTTCAAAAAATTTGATGTTCTATGAATTATAATCCTGACTAATCCCACTATTTATTAATTTATAAGGGTTTAATGTTTAGGCAGAGACTTGAACATTTTAAATATTAAAATAAAACAAAAAAATTAAGCCCCAGTCAATCAGTATCCCATTGACATGCATGTAAACACACAATAGTTTGCTTTTCGGTAAAGAGCTGTATGTATGGGTTGATCTCATAAGTGTCCATGATTCCGTTTGCTCATTGCTGGGTGTTAAAGCTGTAAACTGTGTGCATGTGTGCGTGTGCGTGTCTCGCCTCTTTAGCTCAACAGCTCCAGATATGTAACAGGCACCTTCCCCTTCTGGTTTCCTCGCTCTCCAATCAGCCAATCAGAGTCCATTCCAGGCACTGTGTACACAGTGATGAGCTGACCGTCCAATCAGATAAGTGTAATTAATTAATTTGGAGTCTTTAGGATGCTTTTCAAGAAAACACATATAGCAAACATTCTAAATATTCAAATGAAATGGCTTAAAAACAATCATCAGTTCAACCTAACTTTCACTGTAGCCAAATATATTCAAAATGTTTCATCCAAGAACCAAAACGCATTAAAAATCTAGTTTGTGAATGTTTTCGTCACTGTTCGCCACTATATTTACAATGTTTAATTACACATTGCTAGCAAAATCATTGACAATATACTTGAATATTCAAGGTATCACCCGATTTTACTGAAGAGAAATTTAAACTAGCCAAAGTCAACTATAATTCTTTAAACCATCATGAAAAACCATTCACAATTCATTTAATTTTAACATTAAAATGACATATGATGAACATTAATATCAATGTGGTATTTTCAAGTGAAACCGAATATTCAGTGAGAAATAATTCATGGCGGTACTTCATTTTATTCATAACTTGAACGGATCAAAAAAAGTTGGCTATGATCAAGTAAATACATGCTTATTATTGGAAAAAGGTGAAATATTCAACAATATTCAAATGAAATGGTTTTAAAAAAACTATCAATTCAACTAAACTGTCACTACAGCCAAATATATTTTAAAACATTTAATGCAAAACGCATTAAAATCACATTTAAAAATACCATGGTATGTTTTCTTCATTATTTTTCACTATTTTCACAATAATTCATTTTTAATTGCCAGCAAAATTGTTGTAAATATGCTTGAATATTCAAAACATCACCCATTTTTACTAAAAAATTTATAAAATAAATAAAATAAACTAGCCTAAATCAACTTATTATCCATTAAATCGTCATGAAAAACTCATTAAAATGTGACATTAAATGTGACATGATAAACATTAATTGTAATTAGAATTAATGTGTCATTTTCAAGTGAAACAGAATATTAGGTAAGAATTAATGACTGGGCTTAACTTTATCCATCACAATTTGATTGGATCAAAAAAAAGGCCTAAAATTAAGTAAATAATGTTTTTATAGCAAATATTTTAAATATTCAGAAAAAAATGTCCAAAACGAATCTCTTCAACCAAACTGCCACTGTAGCCAAATATATAAAAAACGTTTAATGCAAGAACCAAAACACATTAAAAATATCATGGTATGTTTTCCTTAATGTTCCTTAATATTTTCACAATGTTTAATTTCACATTACCAGCAAACTCATTGTAAATATAATTGAATATTCAATATATCACCCATTTCTACTCTAAAAAGTAAATAAATAAACTACCCAATATCAACGTATAATGCATTAAATAATCATGATAAACCTTTCACAATTCCTTTCATTTTAACATAAATGTGACATATAATAAACAATCATTTTAATTATTGTGGAGTTTTCAAGAGAAACAGAATATTCCATAAGAAATCATTTAGGATGGGGACTTAATTTTATCCATCACAATTTGATTGGATCATGAAATGTAGGCTCGGATATTATGCAATAATATATTTCACAGCCCCTAACACCCCCTATTAGACCCATATCAGACCGTTTATCTTTCATCAAACATCTGCTCACCTCATCGGCCCACAACGAGAGCTCACTGGAGTCTGCAGCGTCATAGTCATACAGCACTTTGGCCTTGCGTGTGCCGCTGGCTGGCGGCTGAACTTCTTCAATCTGCAGAGCGTCTGTTTCCAGAGGAGACGCAGAGTTCAGCGGCAGGAAGGCAGACGGGTCCGTGGGGCTTCTGGCGGGATGGGAATTCACATCCAAAGAGTCGGGGCATCTTCTGAAAGAGAGAAGATTGATATAGAGGTTTATATACACTATAAGGGCTCTGCTGACTAGTGTGAACACTAACAAGACGACAAACTCAAAACTCACATGTCTCCACTGCAACTGTGAGCAGACGGGTGGGAAAAGTAAAACAGGTGTTTATAATAATGACTGTGATGTGACATGTGGCCAAGTATGGTGACCCATACTTGGAATTAGTGCTCTGCATTTATCCCATCCAAAGTGCACACACACACAGCAGTGAACACACACCC